ATTCTAGGACAGAGGCGTGACCGCGGAAGGGGAGGCGGGCTGCGAGTTGAGCAGGCATCGAGGATGGCGACCAGAGGCCGGCCTGGTGCTCACTCTGCAGCCCGGCCTGATCTTGTAGCGAGGTGAGACGGGACCTGCCACCGCCGGGCGGATTCGCCACCAAGAGTCCCAGTGTTCTCTTTTCGTTTGAGCAAGAGCCCCGGTGAGCCCCTGACCCCCAAACCGTTCTCTGGTGAGGGCCTCCAGCTGAAGGCTGGAGGGGCAGCGCGTCAGCGGTGACCACTGGGGAACCCGCTTCTCAGGCCCTTGGAGTCTGTCACCGCGCCAGCCACGTGCGGTGGGTGACGCCGCGGAAGGTGCGGCGTCGGCGTGGGCGTCGGCGCCGGCGTCGGGAGCGCGGCCACCAGGAGCCCAGTGCCTGACGACCTTGCCCGGACTCCAGGCGCCACGAGCGCGGTTCTCCTAAAGGCAGGGTTCGTGTGAGCGGAGCGCTGCGTCTTGACCTACCCCAAACCTCCCACAACACAGAAAACAGGATGTCAGGGGATGCCAACACCCACGGCGTCCCCGTGGTCGCGACAGACCCCGCGGTGCAAGGGCAGGCGGTGGGGCAGGTGAGAAGCCACCTCCAGCTTCAGCGCAGACCTGCCCGCTTTCAACGAAACGCGCCGCCCAGGCAGTCGCCGGCGGCCGGGGATGGGCGAATGTGCTGTGGGAATAGAGGGGTCCGAACTGCGCCTGGACGGTGGTGGGCTCCCCTGGGCTCTGGCGCTCCGAGGTGCGGTAAAGCAGAGATCTCGCACCCGCGCCCATACGGGAGTCCTCAGTCTGGGGTACGGTGCTGCCGGAGGCATGCAGCTGCAGGGCCGGAGCCTGCCCAAGGGGTGGATGTCTGCAGCCTGTAGTGGCTGGAAAAATAAAGACGAAAATCGCGCTCTTGTCTTGTAGTTTGGCACTGAGCACCCACCCCTTTCTCTTCTCTCTGTCACAAAGGAGGGTCCCAACTTGCCCTGAACTAAGGCCTTCTCTTCTCATGGTCTTGGAGCTACCCATCCAGGAAGCAGCTCCTTTCTAGATCACTCTGTTCTGTCCAAAATAGCCCCAAGAGAACCAGGGAGGCCCTTGGGAGGTCTGTGAGGCCGCTTTCTCCTTTTTCCAAAATTCCCCTGGGAAGTAGGGTACGGTGTGCCAGCCCTGGGCTGATCGATAAGCTCTGGTCAGTGGGGCCTCTGGGCTCTCTCCTGGGAGTTTCTGCTCAACTCCAGATACAAAGGCAGCAGACTGTCCCTGACCAAGAGTCAGGGCAAAGGCATTCTGTCAGAAAGTCTGATCCTCCCAGGGGACTTCCAGAGCAGCTCAGAGGTGAAAGGCAGCATCTCAATGAAGCCCAGATTTTCACAGATTTACAGAATGTTCTTCTCTCTAGCCACGGAGCTTCTAGAAGCAGTGAGCACAAACCCCTTGGGTATGGGCCTGGGAGAAGGGGAACAGGGATTTGGAGATGGGGGTGGGGTAGACCCAAGGCACCTCCCAGCTGGAGACTTTTGAGCAGCTGCTTCTGAGAGCTGGATCTGGAGGCTGAGATTGTCTTAGGGTCAGGCTGGCTTCTATCAGATCCTTGCCCAGACACCTCCCAAATATTCTGTCCTGTGACAAAGACTGTCAGGGAGTGGGGCAGGCAAAGAGGAGATCAAGGAGTATGTAGAGACCCTAGCTAAACTGGCCACTGCAGGCACCTGGCAGCCTGTAGCTGAGAGGTTCTGCCCAGGCCAGCTAGAACAGGTTTCCCAGAAGCCTGAGGGAGGGGGGTAACTAGAGACATTCGGACACTCACCCACGCACCAGGTAATGGTACTTTGGGTTTTCTGTGCTTGTTCTGTGATGACTTTTCACATGGCACATGCCATATTATTCAACATCCCATGATTTCTCTTTTCATTTTTTCTTTCATGAAATAGACAGACAGACAGATACTCCCAACAGGGTCCTCAGATCGTGACTCTCCCCCAGGCTCTGCCAGCCAGGATCATGGGCAGTCACTGCTCGGGAGACACAGGAAGACCTCAGAAGGTGAACGGGGACCTTGGCGTGACCTGGCATACCTGAGCTTGCATTACTGGCCCCCCAGGTCTGCTGTGTCTGTATTGCTGAGTGTTGCCTACCGGCTCCTAACAGGAGGGCCCAGGGACCGCAGAGGGCAGCACTTGAAGGGACAGTGAGTCTGAAGTTGCAATCTCCCAAAATATCTGCCTTCTTGGAACATGGGTGGGATCCAGTCCTGGCAGAAGTTGGATTTTGAAGCTCCAAGGGTCTGAGGAGGGGCACATTCACAGTAGAAGCTGTGGCCAAGGCTGCCTGCCTAGATCGCTGCTTTTTCAAAGTAAATATTCTTAGACCCACCCCATCCCAGAACCAGCAGGGACTTGAGAGATCGCCCAGACCTCATCTAATGCTGGGAGAAAATTAGGTGGAGCAGGCTGGAGACTAGCCCAAAGCCTCATACCAGGAAGTAGCTGTATGGCCTCACTCACACCAGACCAGGGTGCTCACTCTCAGCCTTCCTGATCAGCAGTGATATGAGATGGGACCAGCCTGCCTGCT